TTTTACCAACCTACCAAGAGAAGAAGTTTCTCTGAAAGACACAGAGCAGCTCCCTGTCTTCTGTAGCTATATAAACAACGTGTGAAGCCTCCATCCCGCTAAATGTTTGCTAGCCATTTATGCACGAATATTTATTGAGCTCAGGCTCTGGAAAGGAACAAAACACAGTCTTCATCCTCAAGTAGTTTCCACTGTAGCATGAAAAACAGACAGTAAGTAAGAAAATATGTGCTACCACGTGAAGTAGCTATAAGTGCACTAGAAAAAACTGAACCGGGTAAAGGAGTAGAGAGTAGTGGAGGGGTGTGCCCCCATTTTAGAAAAGGTGATGAAGAACATCCTCTTTGAGGTGAAATTTGAGAGGAGACATCAATGAAGCGATATTTGGTAGCAGAGTGTTCTAACAGAGGGCACTCTGCACATCAGAGAGCTCTGGTTTGAAAAATCAGACAGAAGCCATGACCTTGGGGGCTCAGCGCTAACACTGCTGCCAGAGGACCTAGCAACTCAGCTTTAGTTTTTTGCAAGAGGTTCAATTGTCTGAGGGAGTATGAAAAAGGAATGAAATTCAAAATGAGTAGACTAAATAGTGAAAAACAATGGAAACGTATATATTCTAAATGCTTCTTTATGACTCTGAAGAGAACACAGAGCAGGGAAGAAAAGCACGATTCTTTGGGGATCCATCCTGACTTTGACTGGAATCCAAGCTCTACAATGTACTAGCTGTGGTTTTTGTTCGCTTGTTGGTTTTAACGTTTCAAGCTTTAGTTTTCTTGTCTGCAAAGTAGGAGCACCATGATCTTTCTGCATAGGGTTTCCCAACAATACAATGAGATGTTGCATTCGACGTGTGTAACACAGTGTCAGACACAAAAGAGGGGGCAAAAAATGTGATGTTTTCAACATGTTAATATATAAATGTATTACTTGCAAGACGTAATAAAGTATGAACAATTATGTTAACAAAAACATTCTTTCCTTATATGACTTTAAAATAGCTAGCCATTTTAAATGATTTCTATTTAGCTTATGAGAGAGCTTCTTTCATTGTAATCTCTATACTTTGAATGCTTCCTTTGCTGTAATGAGATATAAGGCTGCTGCTGATCTACATCTACTGAAGCATGAATGCAACACCAAGGTCCACAACCGTGCTAGCCGTAACAGCAGGAAATCAAGGGACAGAAACTTCCCTATGTTTTGAAACCCAGGGCACGGTTTTCCTGCTTGCCTATCATGAAAAGTCATTTTTTGCAGAACCAGTAAAATTTATTTAACAAAAATGCTCTCCCAGAAGCAGAGAGGAGATTTTTTTCCACTCTCCTCAGCAACCGTCGTGGTTCAAAACACAAAGGTGCTCTATGAATGAAGAATGACAACAGTGCTCTTCTGGAGAGGCTGCAGGTGACAAAAGAAAATGAGTGTCTCAGGGAAGGGGGCCTAGCAGAAAGACAGGCACTACCATTCCTGTAACACTCAATCACGCACACCACTAACAGGATGTGGGCATCACTGAGGGACGAAAAGCGTTTGGGTTCAAAGCCTGGTGAAGGCAAGGCCCCAGGCGTAACACAGGATTATTTGTCATTCTGATATCTAGAAGGAAAAGGGGTCAGCTGGACCATGAAAGGCTGATGTTGCTGCCAGCTCCATCATGTTCAAACTGTTAACATGTTCCCGATCAGAGTGTCCTTCTTTATAGGTGAAACAGATCGCAGTGTTTTATAGATTGGAAAAACTGAGGTACAACAAGCACCTCTCTTAGCAGCTGGAAAAATGCCCTAACCTCCCAGGATGCAGAAAGCTACAGGAGCTTAGGCGACAATGCCACTGGCCATGCACCGAGCTGCTCCTGTGTATCAGGCCCCAGGCACCTTAACTCAGTATTTTGTTATCTTCGTGGAAATCTCTGAGGTCGGTGCTGGTATTATCTCCATTTTACAGATGAGGCAATCAAGACTCCATGGGGGTTGCTTATCCACTGAGTGGTCTCTCCGAAGCTAGAGACTAATACAAACAGCTTCCAAATTTCTTCTCGAATTGGGGGTAATTTGGAGATTCAGGCAAAATAAGGGAATCTAAGAGCTAGCTAGAGAAACTTTGCTAACATAATCTCACAAAAGCAGAAGAAAGGCACTAAACAAAAAGGAGGAAAAAATATAAGTTAAATATATAGAGTGAGTCAGTGAAGCCTTTGATATCACAAGCAAAAACTGGGGAAAGGTCTATGGCCTCATGAAGGATATGAACACTTAGTCCCAGTGTCCACTTTCCCTAGTAAGCTCTCTCCCTGCCCACGGAATGCATCAATTTGTCTACCCATGGGAGAATCCTAAATGACATGCCTGTCATGGGAGTCACAGCAGCAACCACACAACCATAGCAAATCGCAATGAAGGGCCCAGGAGGGTTAAGTTTAGAGAGGAAAACTCACAGCAGTGATTCTGCAGTCCCTCTGTACACACCGTGTTCTGTCATCTGGACCAAGACAACCTTTTTACCGTGAGACTATACGCTTCTCTTAAAGAAGGCATTTATAAAACTTAACAATACCCTCCCCACAGCAATCACCCCTTAGAGAATAACAGGACTGACCAAATGGGCACAATTAGTTCGAGGCAATAGTGAGTTTGACTTAAGATGATTTCAGACTCTAGAGGTAAAAGATCAGAACTCTTACTCCATAGTTTTCATCAGGAACTTCACGATGCAGGACTGATGGATGTCACTCCATACTAGCGGATGTTGACCATGAGTTAGAAGACATAAGGTCTTCTTATTTAAACGCAAAGAGATATTTCTAGGTTATGGTATTTCTTTAATGAAGGCAAAATTTCATTGCGGCATCACTTTCCAGTTAAGGAAGCCAGAAACTTCAAAGGCAAAGCTCATCTCCGCATTTTCACCGTTTATATTTTACTTAGTGTTTCAGAATTATGCTTACTGATGAATGATGAAAGTAGTGAGAAGTGGAATTGGGTGCTTATATTTAAACCCACATGTTGTGGAGCCATTAGGGAAAGATGGGACATGTATACAGGGAGGCAATTTTTACCTAAATCAATCTACAAAATGTAACTAAAGAAGGTAGTAAACAGAAGGTGAAAAATCAAACACAAAAATCATATAATAACCAAGAATCAAGAGGAATATAATGGATGTGGGTTAAGATTTGCACAAAGGAGGTACAGTCCTATCCCCTATAGACTGCGGTAAAGGCAGATGTAGCACCAATAGAGTGACCCCAACCTGCATAGATCTGTTAGAGCCAAAAGCAGGGTGTTGGCTAAATGCTAAAAAGTGTCAGGTACAGCAGCTTAGGTCTCCCTTAAAAAGACAAATCCTGAGACAGTTTACAAAATCATCATCAGGAAAAAGAACAAAGTGTAAAGGTGTTTGAAATTTATAATCAGCAGCACAGTGCTGGACACCCCCGAAAAGGTTAGAGCTTTCCTAAGCACTGAAAGCCCAGGCACGGTGCTAAGCACTTTTTACTGCCTTCCTCATTTATTCTGTAATCACTCCATGAACTATGTGCTACTAAATGCGCTCTTTGCATATATAAGTATGTTGAGACAGACAGATTAATTTGTCCAAAATTACTCAACTAGCAAATAGCTCATGAGTGAAGGAAACTCATGCAGGCTGAGCCTGCCACATGAACTCCTAATCACACTGGCTGTTTGCTTAGAATGCAGGATACGTTGGTAAACGGGGGATCCCCTACAACTTCTGTGCTTCTCCAACCAGCAAACTTTGTGCTGCCTATAAGAAATGCACCTTTGGGAAGCTGAGGAGGGCAAGAGATCGAGACCAGCCTGAACAACACAGTGAAACCCTGCTTCTACTAAAAATACAAAAATGAGCTGGGCATGGTGGCATGCGCCTATATTCCCAGCTACTTGAGAGGCTGAGGCAGGATAATTGCTTAAAACCCAGGCGAAGGTTGCAGTAAGCTGAGATCACACCACTGCACTCCAACCTGGGAACAGAGTGAGACTTCGTCTTAAAAAAAAAAAAAAAAAAAAAAGAAAAGAAAAAAAAAGAAAAAAAACACACTTTAGCCAGGTGCAGTGGCACACGTCTGTAATCCCAGCACTTTGGCAGACTGAGGCAGGTAGATCACTTGAGATCAGTAGTTTGAGAATAGCCTGGCCAACGTGGTGAAATCCTGTCTCTACTAAAATAGAAAAATTGGCTGGGCACGGTAGTGCATGTCTGCGATCCCAGCTACTTAGGAGGCTGAGGCAGGAGAATTGCTTGAATCCACGGGGTGAAGGTTGCAGTGAGCTGAGATTGCACCACTGCACTCCAGCCTGGGTAACAGTTAGACTTTGTCTCAAAAAAAAAAAAAAAAAAAAAAAAGAAGAAACACATCTTTTACAGAGGTTTCGTTCATGTTAACTAAGTATAGTTTTGATGAAATTCTGAGTTTCTTTACGCATTTCTGTTTTTCACACTGAACTGGCTGTACTTAGAAACCAAAGCACTAAGGAGCACAGGGCTGGGTCAGGCGTAGACTCCAGTCTCTTCTTTGTTACTAACTCACAATGTGAACGTGAACCAATCATATAACCTCAATGAAGCTGAAGCTTAAACAAGTCTAAGGCCACATTAAATGTTGCAATGTGATGACCGGACAAGTATTTTCAGCTGGTAATGTTTACACCAGGTGTCCCCAAACTTTTTACACAGGGGGCCAGTTCACTGTCCCTCAGACCGTTGGAGGGCCGCCACATACTGTGCTCCTCTCACTGACCACCAATGAAAGAGGTGCCCCTTCCTGAAGTGCGGCGGGGGGTTGGATAAATGGCCTCAGGGGGCCGCATGCGGCCCGTAGGCCGTAGTTTGGGGACACCCGATTTACACCTTCTTGTATTATCAGCTAATCTAATTTTCTATTACCATATATTACTTGTCTTTATCTATTTATGGTTCTCCCTTTGTATTTGAACATTACATAAACAGATCGTGATGGGCATGCAAATGTCACGTACGATTTTCTTATCGTAGGACTCCCCGCTGCTGTAGGTTGTGGCCAGCGTGGATGAACACTCTTCCAGGTACCAAGGTTTCTTTCCGCTTTCTGCAGTGCTGCTGATGGAGATGGTGTAGATGCTGTTGGTGTAGCCATCACAGGAGCAGTGGTCTTTGCTCCTTCCGCCATTTCCAGATGCCCAAACAAACACAGAGCCAAGGCCTCTCCGCCCCTGTTCACAAACAGAGAAAGCTAAATGACGGTGTGAAATGACTCTAAACGAAGAGGTCAGCATCAATTGAGCCAAATCGTGTATTTGCAGGTGGGGTGTGTTGCTATCTTAACATGCTGGGCTTAAGCGCCTTTTGGGAATGAAGTAAGAGGAGTTGCTTTTATAGAATAAAATGGTCAGAAAAGTTATAACAACACACATGATGACTATAATGGCTAATCTTTATAGACCAAGCACAACCCAAAGCATTTTACATGAACTGGATTAATTCTTTCAACAATCCTGTGAGGCTGGCACAATTCCTGTCCCCATTATGCTGTAGAGAAACAGAGGTACAGAAGTTATGTAATTCAGTCCAAAAAAATTTTTTTAAGGAAGTTAAGTAATTGTTCCTAAGGTCATAAGCAATAAATGGTAGAGCCAAAATTTGAACCCAGTGAGACCTGAGAGTTGGGATAATATTAGTTGTAATTACCACAGTTACGTACTATTGTTTAAAATCTTCAAATCCACCACGAATTAGGTGCTATTACGCACCCTCATTTACCTCTGAGGAGAATGAGGTATAGAGAGGTTATGCCTCTATGCTAAATCACAGTCAGTGAGTGTCAGACGCAAGTACTAACTGTTCACTTCTTTCTATAGAGCCGATCTCCCCATGCATGGTGTAGACATGAATTACTGAGGGATATTAATGGATGCTACCATAAATAAAAGGATTTCAAGGTCACATATGTTTGCGAATCCCTGAGTTAAACAAAACTAAGTGAGCCTCTTTATTGCAAAACCTCTAAGAACTTTTAATAAATGAATGCTTATTGCAAAATTCTAAGAGCAGAACACAGTGTAATGTAATTTTTCCAAACATATGTGACCGCAGACCTATTAACATTTTCTTAGAATGGTAGAAGACAGTGTCACATTCTTCATGCCAAAACCTGGTAGCTAAAAATAACTGAAGTAATTTCTTGTTTGGTGGCTCATGCATGTAATCCGAGCATTTTGGGAGGCTGAGGTGGGCAGATCACCCGAGGTCAGGAGTTCAAGACCAGCCTGTCCAACATGGGAAAACCCCATCTCTACTGAAAATACGACAATTAGCCAGGCATGGTGGCGCACACCTGTAATCCCAGCTACTCAATAGGCTGAGGCATGAACATCGCTTGAACCCAGTAGGCAGAGGTTGCAGATTGCCCTGAGCCAAGGTCATGTCATTGCACTCCAGCTTGGGTGACAGAGTAAGGCTCTAGCTAAAAAAAAAAAAAAAAAAAAAAAAAAAAAAAAGAATTTCTGAAAGTCCTCAATAATAAGAAACAGAAGCAAAGTAGAATACAGACATATATGTGAAATGATGTCTTCAGGAGAAAACAGAGAATTAAGCCAAAATAAAGAGTATTTCTGGGAATAGCTATAGCTGAATCCCTAAGAAATGTTACAATTTTAAAGCTAGAAGGCACATCGGAGGACATCTAGGTCGAATCCATCATTGTGTATGAGGAAGTGAAAACTCAAGTCAAAAAGCAGGTGATGGTGGAGACTTTACCTTCTAGGCCCTAATTTTCTGGTCACCAGGTGGAAGGAAAAGCATTTGGGTGATGCTGTCTTAGAATTTCTGGAAAAAGCCAAAGCAAAAGAGACAACAAATCTGGAGTATCTGTGATAAACTCTTCCAGACCTTGAATCCTCAAGGAACAGAATATTTATGACATGATTTGATAGACCTGAACATTCATTTCTTTTTGTCCTTGAACTTGGAAAAAGTGCTTTATGATTACCCAGGAATTGGAAATATTCAAGAAGAGAGAAGGGGATAAACTTTCAGGTGCTATTGCTGCTAGACAGCTGGGCCTGGTTTACCATCCCTCAATGTCCCATCAAAATATTCATGATACATAGAGAAAGGTGCAGAAATCACAAAGCCATCACAAACTGCGAATTTTGTTCGATGCTATGTTAATCTCTAGGAGGGATTATGCATTGCTATGGTGGGGGTGGTCAGACTGACAAACCATGGTGACAAACTCATTTCCAGACCTCAGAGACAGAACGCCATACCAAACGGAATGAAAGAACGCTCTAACTCATTATCATCAATATGTTCTCTCTCTATCAGACACTGAGGGGCTGTGTTACAGGCAAAACTCAGGGTCCCACTGGGCCTCACCTGATGGATCAACAGAGCACATATGAGACTGTGCAAAAACCCACCTGATTTAAACAGCACCACAACAGATGACAAAGACCCACAAAACGATGAAAAGCATATATTGTACAAGCAAGCACAAGCACATGTGTATATATGTATGTAAAATTATGACAGTGTGCCCATGTATCAAATTCAATTAAACTATCTTTAACAAGTAACTTGATTTTAAAAATATTTAGTAAGAAAATATTTAGAAAACAGTTTTGTGACAATGTAGTTATAAACATAGGATACAAAATGATACAGCAGTCTCAGTTTAGGAAAAAATGTGTATAGACTCCACATAGTGGTCAACACCGGTAATCCTGGTGCTTTGGGAGGCTAAGGCAGGAGGATAATCTGAGGCCAGTAGTTAGAGACCAGCCTCGGGCAATAGGGAGAGACCACATATTAACAAAAAACTAAAAGCAAATAGCTGGGTGTGATGGTGTATGCTTTTAGTCTCAGCTACTTTGGAGGCTGAGGTGGAAGGATTGCTTGGAGCCAAGAGTTCGAGGCTACAGTGAGTTATGACTGCTCCACTTGCACTCCAGCTTGAGTGACAGAACAAGATCCCGTAGCTTAAAAAAAAGGGTGGGGTGGGGTGGGGGGATTGGACATGGCGGCTCACACCTGTGATCTCAGCACTTTGGGAGGTTGAGGCAGGCAGATCACAAAGTTAGGAGTTCGAGACCAGCCTGGCCAACATAGTGAAACCCCGTCTCTACTAGAAATAATAATAATTAAAAAAAATAGCCAGGTGTGGTGGTGCACGCCTCTTATCCCAGCTACTTTGGAGGCTAAGGCAAGAAAAATCGCTTGACCCTGGGAGATACAGGTTGCTGTAAGCCAAGTTTGTGCCACTGCACTCCAGCCTGGGCGAGAGAGTGAGACTCCATCTCAAAAAAAAAAAAAAAAAAAGAGCAAGACAAAAAAGGTATATATACAGAAGGCTGTACGCATAAATTTAGATGCATACTATAAAGTGACAATGTAATTGAAGTTATCCTCTATGGTAAGATCAGAAAAGATTTTTATTTTCTTTTTTTATGTCAATCTTCCATGACCATGTATTACTTTTATAAAAATAAAAAAAGAATTAATTCTTCAAAAAGAAAAATGAACGATCAAATACAGAATTCAGGCTGAAGGAAATATGGCTCCATTAAATAATAAACACATTTGTGCCTTTTGTCTAAAATGCCTTAAAAAATAACTAAGTTCTTTTAAATTTATCTTATCAGTATTAAATACCATAATATCTTATTTCATAATAATCTAGAGCTTCTATATTCAACACTTTATTTCACCCACATAAAAATTCTGAATTATAATTTATATTGCTTTCATTTCACAGAAGTTAATATGAATAAACAAGATAACTACTCCCCCCCAAAAATAAAAATAAATAAATAAAAACATTAATTCCTCTACTAAGAGGGAAAACACAGATTCAATTCTTAAAAGATCATTTTATGTTGTGGCCAAAAGGGGTTTTATCCATAGAAGATCCACTGGTTGTACTAAAAACGACAGAGGCTAACATTTCTAAAAAACCTTCTATGCGTCAACCACTCTACAAACATTATTCTGCACAATCCGAGTTTACATTATCATCATTTTATAGACAGCAAACTTAGTCTCTCAGAATTGCTCACTAAGGGGCTGGGTGCAGTGGCTCACGCCTGTAATCCCAGCACTTAAGAAACAAGCCTGAGCAACATAGCGAGACCTTGTCTCTAAGAAAAAAATAAAAAATTAGTTGGGCATGGTGCCATATGTCTGTGTTCCTGGCTTCTAGAGAGGCTGGGCAAGAGGATCACTTGAGCTCAGGAGTTCGAGACTACAGTGAGCTATGGTCACAGCATTGCACTCCAGCTTGGGCAACAGAGCTCAGAGAAAGACTGTCTTCAAACAAACAAAAAAAAGAAAATGCCAGACCTTGAAAACTGACTGGAGCCACACCCTGAGCTATTAATCCTTACAACAGACTTCTTTCGGGCAAAAAGAAGGCTAATCATTATTGCACCCTTTCTGGCCAAATCGCCCATGTCTTCATTGAAGCCTGGCCTTGGGATGTAAGAGCAGAGCAGTCCTCAAGTTCTTTCTAGACTTGGTGGTAGGATTACAACTGATAAAGAATGGATGCATGCCTTGCCCTTAAGGGCAGGATGTAGTTTTGAACCCCCAAGTTCCCCGCAATCCCACCCTGAGGGGGGACTCCCTCAGAAGTGTGAACACAGGTCATTCTTTTCCAGCAGCACGCATAGAAGACACCACTAAGGAGGGGCAATGGCATTGCTAAGGGGCTCTTTGGGGATTCACTGGGTTGAGAGAGTCCTGAGTTGAGAGGACAGTAGGGTGCTGCTGCCCTGAAAGTGTCCCTTCCAGACAGAGGTGATGTCCTTGTATTGAACAGATAATTTGAGGGCATTATTTTATAACCGAGCATGGTGAAGGAAAACCTTGAAAGACAGTGTGGGGTCAATAACCATTCCCAGGCCTGAAGGGGCACAGAGAGAAAGGGGAGCCAATGGAGCTGGAGACAGGGTGGCTAACAGAAGGCAGTCAGGGGACACGCGAGCCTGTGTGGGCCCTACAGGCTGGGGGCAGGTGAATGCATACCTGAGCCCTCAGTCTCCTCCTCTTACACTCCCAATTTCTTGCCAATGTTCCCCATTGGCCAAATCTCATCAGAAGCCAGTGGACCTGGGAGTAGAGTCAGTGTCTGCATGCATAGAGCTCGTGAAGAGAAGGGAAGAAGAGATCTTAAGGGTTAAACGGGAGACACTGGAATTGTCCTGAAGGTGTGCCA